AAATATTTAATAACAATTTAGGTGTAATAACAATTTAAGTCATTGCAAGTTTAAATATTAGATAAATTGTGTTATCTTGTGAATTTTGAGATTTTTTTAAAATCTAGGGTGAATAAGATAATATTTATACAAATACTCTTAACTATTTGACAATAAACGCTCATACCCATGTGCAATGTTCTAACTCGAGACCTCAAGAATAACAACAATCTCTTAATCACTAATGTCGCTTGGTTCGTGTTGAATTTTGAGTTTAAATGTCTAATAAATATTTATATATTTTTTAAATAGTCCAATATTTCGCACCCGATCAATATTTAGTTTTATTTCTTCAGATTTCCTTTTTTTTTTTCATCCACCCACAAAGCAAAATATGTATGTTTAACATGAATTTTTATTGTTGGTTACTGTTTTAAACATGATTTCCCCTCTTTTGATGGTATAGGATGATAAAGTAAGAGTGGTGCAGACACTTCTATTTGTAGAAGGGATTAATACACTTCAACAAACACTGTTTGGGACTCGGTTGCCTGCCGTGATTGGAGGGTCTTATGCCCTCATGGTTCCCATTATATCAATAATTCACGATACTTCCTTGATGAGTATCGAGGACAATCACGAGGTTAGTACACTTCTCAATCTTCGGCTTTGTAACTGTTGCATTTTTTTCTTCATTAACTTCAAGCTTCTTGTGCAAAAGGAGAATCATCAAGGACTTAAAGTCAATATTTGTGTGACCCACTTAGTGTTTGATTTTGTATCGCTTGCATGCACCAAAGTCTTCAAATGAGTCACGTCAGTGAATTGTCATCCTGTTTTTGCTCACGCTATTTGGCTGTATTGACTATTGATGACCCTAATAAGTACAATAAATTATAAGCAATTTGCAGCGGTGCTCTCTCCCCCCTCTTATGTGTCCTAAACAAAACTTTGGCATATTTTGTTACTAGATCTCATTACTCTAACATCAGGGTACTTTATTAGTTAGGCTAAAGGGACACCTAGTAGCATTTCAGATCAAAGAATGTGAGCTGTAGGTTCATCAGAAGATCTTTTATGTGTATGCACTTTGAAGAGATTTATAAACTCTATGAGAGCTGTCCAAGGTGCATTAATAGTAGCATCAAGCATACAAATTATCCTGGGATACAGTCAGATGTGGGCCATTTGCTCCAGGTGCAATTTTAATATTGAATGAAGATTTTGTGTCCAAATTCAGGAAACACAATTTGAGGAACTGTTGACATAATTTACCTTTTAGCTTTTCAGGTTCTTCAGCCCCCTTGGTATGGTTCCAGTCATTGCACTAGTGGGCTTTGGCTTGTTTGATAGAGGCTTCCCTGTGGTATAACATAAAAACTATGATGCTATTTTGAATTCTTGAATGAAAATTTCCTCTCGTCTTGTCATGTAGTTCTAACTTGTTATCTCTCTATCAGGTTGGTCGCTGTGTGGAAATCGGCGTTCCAATGCTTATTCTATTTATAGCCTTCTCTCAGGTATAGATTGATACTAACTTGTTTACCGATCTGAGGCCAAATTTATCTTTAAGTATTCTTAATCCGTTTCAAAATGGATTTGGTTTTCGTAGTTGCGTTTATCTAATAATGTTGTGTCAAAAAACAGTACTTGAAGAATTTTCAGCTAAAACAACTTCCAATACTGGAGCAGTTTGCTCTTCTTATATCGATCACAGTAATATGGGCATATGCTCATCTCTTGACAGCAAGTGGTGCATACAAACATCGTCCAGAGTTAACCTAATTAAATTGCAGAACCGACAAGGCCAACCTCGTTTCTTCTGCTCTATGGTTGGTACCAAAGTTGTTCCCCATTTATTGAATACTTTTATGCACACTAAGAGGACATAAAACAATTTAAAATTAAGAGCCAGAACATGATTGTGTTATTTTTTCTGACTGAAATTTATTCAATCAGGATAAAGATACCTTATCCTCTTAAATGGGGTGCTCCTACTTTTGATGCTAGGCATGCATTTGGAATGATGGCTGCTGTTTTAGTCTCTTTGATTGAGTTATTGCTCATTAGAACTAGAAAATAAATTGAATGAACTGTTAGTTAATCAGAGCTAAATAATGTTTGTTTTGGCAGTCAACCGGAGCTTACAAGGCCGCCTCACGTCTAGCCAGTGCCACACCACCTCCATCTCATGTTCTTTATTTGGAACACTGACTGCTTCAACCGTCTCGGCTTAACGTTGCTTTCCGTCTCAGAAAATTATCTTATGCTACTATACTAATTCCATGAGAAACAACAGAGAAAATGTGGGGCTCCTTGGAAGCACTCGTGATGGAAGCCGGAGAGTCGTTCAAATCTCGGCTGGCTTTTTGATATTTTTCTCAATATTAGGTGAGTTATGAGAATTTACTTAAAATAGACAATTCTCTTGAGTCTGGAATGTGTCTGTAATAGGTTCTTCTTTTGACTTGTTTACCATCTGCAGGAAAATTTGGAGCTTTGTTTGCATCAATACCTTTTACCATATTTGCTGCTGTATATTGTGTTTTGTTTGGTCTTGTTGATAAGTATCACAGTAACGTTCTTTCTTGTATAACCAATATTCCTTTTTGTAATACCATTACTCATTGTTGGCTTCGGTTGCTTTCAGCTTCGGTGGGGCTGCCGTTCTTGCAATTTACGAACAAGAACTCCACGAGGAATCTCTTTATTGTGGGCGTTGCCCTGTTCTTAGGTTTACCTGTTCCTGAGTATTTCAGACTTCAGAGAATACACTGCCGAGGCTCTTCATGGTCCAGCTCATACCAGGGGTGGCTGGGTGAGTTAAAATGACGCCAATGTGTTCCTTGGCCATATTCAATGATTTTCTTAACTTGTTTTTTCTTTTGCATGCAGTTCAATGATTTCCTTAACAGCATATTCTTTTCATCACCAACCGGGGAGTTAATCGTCTCCGTATTCCTAGACAACACACTTGACACCAAAGACAGTGGAAGAGATAGAGGAATGCCATGGTGGGTTAAATTCCAGACATTCAAAGGAGATAGCCGGAAGGAAGAGTTTTACACACTCCCATTCAACCTCAACCGTTTCTTCCCACCATCATAAAACTGTCATCATCCAAGTGCTGCAAGGAAAAAGCATACATTCCCGAAAGACGATGATCACAGCCTGAAGAATGAAGTGGAGTTTCATGTGTTTCTTTTTTCATCGCTGAGAGACTTCAGCTGAATCTCTCTCCCATGATCTGTTAAATATTTAACTTGGGTTATTCAGGTTTAATCCAATCCATTTGTCTTGCTTGCTTTCATTAGAATCAAGTGTTTTTTCATTGGGTTATTCAGACTTCAGAAATAGTATTTATTTTTAATTAATCCAACAAATTAAATCAAGATCACGTATTTTATTTTTACCCAAAAATCGTTTTCCTTTTAACAAATTAAATATTGAATTGTTTACATCAACAACAGATATAACAATGACCTGACCAATGGATAAGATTTCATTAAACCCATCAAATCCCACACACCACAACTCAAACCAAAAACAAGTAACGATAACGGTCTTTTAAAAAAATAGAAGTAACGGTAACGGATACAAACGGAAGGGGGAGAATGATAGAAAAAGGTCCAATCATTATCGAAACAAGAAAGGTCGCCTAATAATTAGAGTTGTAAACGACTCGAGATTAAATAGTGTTGAGTTCAACTCGATTTTAAAAATATAAAATTGAGTTTGACTCGATTCAAAAAAATATAAAGTTAAATTCGATTCAATTTGAAAACTTGATAGTTTATAATTTTTAAGTTTGATTCGAACTCGAAATAAATAAGTGAAGCTCGACTGGACTCGAAAACTCGTGAGCTTAAAATTTTCAAGTTTCACTCGAAATTAAACATTGAAGTTCGACTCAAATTCAAACCCGAACCTTAAATACATGAAGTCCATAGTGCTTTTCTTTTTGAAAATAACATACAAATGGTATTGTTATTAATTTAATTTCAAAAATCTAAAATTTTTATTGTATTATTTTTTTCTGAGTAGCTCATGAGCTTTTTGAGTCGAGTATTAAGTAGCATACTTCGACTCTTTAAGAATTCAAGCCGAATTTAAGCTCGATTTGAGTCTATTTAATTTGAATATTTACTTTGACTGAATTGATATCAAATAGCTCGCGATATGTCTCTTCTCATTTACTGCCTACGAATAACAATTAGGTAAAGGATTTAAAGGGCAGTTTGGGAAGTCTACGAATAAAAATAGGCGCGAAGAGTACGGAAAGTAACAGAGGGAATAAAAAGGAAATAAATATAAATAAAATGATTTAAAAATAATAATAAAGAAAGAAAGAAAATAGAAGAAAGAGGAGGTGGAAGTACATGGGCACTAGTTTGGTGTGTCTCCCCTGGGTCCTCCTCCCTCTTCTTTCTTCTTCTACTTATTCTTCTTCCCATTTTTCTCTTCGATCGCCACTACCATGATCTTCCGATACTCTTTCTTCACTTAGATCTTTCTTTCCTCTATTGTCTTTTCATCATTTTTCCCGGTTGCTCGGGATGGCTGACGATAAGGTAAGCTTTATTTTTCTTTTCCCCCCTTATTTTCCCCTCTACATTGGAATTCGGTGATTTTAAGTTTTTTGGGTGAAAATTTTCTTTTTTATTGTTTCCACTTTTGTTCTCTTCTGAAAGTCTGATGGAATTTTTTTTTTCTGGTTGTTCTGTTTTTTTTGGGTGTTGGTGGGATTTCCTTACGAGATTTGCATTTTTTAATTAGTTATTTTTCATATACGTTTATGAAACGAAAATCTTTTGTTGTATATTCGTCTTATTTTGCGGCGATCTTGTTGGTTGAGCTAATCGTCAAACCCTGGATGATGTAAAATTTTGTCTTATTGTTTTGGATCTGTTAGTGTGTTATATCTTCTCTTCAGTTGGAGGATCTCCAGTTTATATGCTCGCTCTTACGAAGTCCCTTTTCGCTATTTTTTACTGACAATAAATTTCGTAATTTACCAAGAAATGTCTGCCCCTGTCGTCGATGGGAAGGATGCGGTCACCGGTCACATAATTTCCACAACTATTGGAGGCAAAAACGGTGAACCAAAACAGGTATGTCACTTCTTGGGTTACCCAGTTTTATCTCTGTTCAAATTCAGCTTTAGCTATCAATACTATCCGTTTAAGATGAACTTTAGGAATGATAATCAGACTCTTTTACTTGGAATTTCATGTTTTTAGATGTTTTGATTATTGTAGACTATAAGTTATACGGCGGAGCATGTAGTGGGGACAGGATCCTTTGGAATTGTTTTCCAGGTACTGAAACGTAGTCACACTTGGTTTTACCTTCTTGGTGTTCACATACTGATCCATCTGTTATCAAGCAAAATGCTTGGAAACTGGAGAGACCGTGGCTATAAAGAAAGTTTTGCAAGACAGAAGATATAAGAATCGGGAACTGCAATTGATGCGCTTACTTGATCATCCGAATGTGATTTCCTTGAAACATTGTTTCTTTTCCACCACTAGTAAAAATGAGCTTTACCTTAACTTGGTTATGGATTACGTACCGGAGAGCAAGTATAGAGCTTTGAAGCATTACAGCATTGCAAATCAGAGAATGCCACTCATCTATGTGAAACTTTACACATACCAGGTGTGCATGGTACTCTTTTACATGCTTGATTTCTTATGTTATGTTCTTCTTTATGCTAATTAGAGGAAGTTTTTACAGATATTTAGGGGGCTTGCCTACCTCCATAATGCTGTGGGAGTTTGCCATAGGGATTTGAAGCCTCAAAATGTTTTGGTATGCTTTTCTTACTGATGAAATCTTGGTACAATGTCCCGACAATGTTTCTGAGAGATAATTGTTGGTTTTGTACAGGTTGATACTTTGACACACCAGGTTAAGATTTGCGATTTCGGAAGTGCAAAAGTGCTTGTAAGTTGACCCCTTTGTACTAATATTCCAAGTGCTTGTAAGTTGACGGTTTAGTTTTTCCAAGTGAAACACTTTTATTGGGTTCATAAGTTTCTAAAACTGGAGTTTTGCTTTTTTTTTTTTTTTGAATGTTCTACTCAATTGCAACTTCTAAAGGGATTTATCTCATATGTTATCATCTACTATTTGTGAAAAGTGCAAGGTATTTCTCTTGTTCTAGCTTGCAGAATCAACATTCTGATAACACACGTTTATGACTCCTTACTGTTGTTCTGCTAAAGCTCGTGTAACCTTTGCCCTTCTTTTACATCTCTATAAATGCTTTATACCTGAAATTTTAGCTGACCTTGAATCTTTTCTAGCCTGATCCTTCTCAAATGGGCACTTCTCCCTTGTTAACTTTACCAGTTTACCTGTCTTTTATGGCCTCTTTGTAGGTGTGAAGGGCTAAAGAAGAAAAGGATTGTGGGGTGGGGATTGAGTGGGATTTTATTGTGACACATTTTGAGTCTGCAGTCTGCACTACTGTTTTGAAGTTGTGGATTAGATCAAATAGAAGTATTAACATGTTAATGATCCTCTTTTGCTTGTCCTTTTTCTACGTGTAAATACTTCACTTGTACTATTAATTTACATGTGATCAGGTCAGAGGTGAAGCTAACATTTCATACATATGTTCGCGTTTCTATCGGGCACCAGAACTTTTATTTGGTGCCACGGAATACACAAACTCAATTGATATCTGGTCAGCCGGTTGTGTTCTTGCTGAACTTTTGCTGGGCCAGGTTAGCGTTTGCCCCTTTTTTTCCTCTGATTTTGATCTTTTTGAAATTCTCTAGCAATATTTTAGTCTCTGCTCATTGATAGCTTTTCTTTTTCGTCTGTAGCCATTGTTTCTTGGGGAAAATGCTGTGGACCAGCTTGTAGAGATTATCAAGGTATGATTTGTTTACTGATTCTTGGATTTACTTTTCTCTGTATCACGGGTTTGCTTCTTACATCTTTTCCTGTAGGTCCTAGGTACACCCACTAGGGAAGAAATTCGTTGCATGAATCCTAATTACACAGATTTTAGGTTTCCACAGATTAAAGCTCACCCATGGCATAAGGTTTGCTTTTTGTTCTCTTTGAGTTTATAAATTATCTTTGATGATGAAGATTAATTTTACGATTGCTTCATGGAATGTTAGAGGTTTGAGGAGAAAAGAAAAGCAGAGGGCTATTCAGAGGTTAATTGATAAAAATCACCCACAGTTTCTTTGGCTGCAAGAAACGAAAATGGAGAAGATTCCCAGATCTCTGCTTAGAAGAAAAGGGTTTAGTAATTTTAAAAGTGTCCTTGAAACTCCATCGGTTGGCTCATCAGGGGGTTTAATGAGTTGTTGGGATGATAAAATTTTCGAATTAGAAAATCGTTTTATTTATAGAAGATTCATTGTCTTATCTGGGAAATTTCGAGTCAATAATTTCAGTTGTATTTTCATTAATGTTTATGGCCCTTCAGTTGAGGAGGAGAAAGATAGTTTTTTTTTGAAGAGTTGAGTTTGTTCATTAGTTTTTGAAGAGTTGAGCTTGTTCATTAGTGGTCAGAGGGCTCTTATTTGTGTAGGGGGGACTTTAATGTATATCTACATGATGAAGAGAAGATTGGAAGAACTCAGAACAGGAATTCAATGAGGATATTTAATCTTTTGATGCTGCAAACAGGCTTAATTGATCTACCCTTAAATGGAGGAAGGTTTACTTGGTGCAATAATCAAGATACCCCTACTCATGTTAGATTGGACCGGTTTTTTGTTGATGGCCAATTCCTTGTTGCATTTCCTGATTTGGTGCAAACCTTACTGCCTAGATCTCTTTCAGACCATAATGCTCTACTGTTGGAGAATGGAGGTGTCAATTGGGGTAAAAAGCCTTTTAAACTTTTTAACTATCTCATGGAAGAAGTTGGGTTTGAGGATTTGGCAGATCTTCAATTCAAAAAAGGAAGAATCAGCAGAGGAAGGCTGGAATTTATAGTATTATGAGAAATACAAAAACTGCTATCAAGAATTGGGCGGGCAAGAAGGACCAATTTCCAGGGGCTAGTATTTCAGCCTTAGAATCGAGGATCCACAGTCTAGAACTGGAAATCCAACAAGTGCAGGATGGTGCTAACAGTGGAATAGCAGCAAAGTTAATTTCAGCAAGAACAGAACTGTGGAGACTATAAAATAGAGGAGCAAATCTGGTTTCAAAATTCCAGATCAAAATGGATAGAAGATGGGGATAGAAATACAAGATTCTTCCATAATTGTGGTTCGATTAGAAAGAGGAGGAATGCTTTGAATGCTTTGAATATTGGGGGTAATGTCATTCAAGAACCGTCTGTCATTAAGACCACTATTAGAGACCACTTCTTTAAGATTTTTAATGAGCATTCGACTTTAGAGGTTGAAGAGATAAGGTTGAATTTTCCTAGTATTTTAGTTGAGCAGAATCTATGTTTAGAGAATGAATTTTCAGAGGAGGAAGTTTGGGAGACTATACAATCTTGTGATAGTAATAAAGCGCCGAGACCAGATGGTCTAAATATGGGCTTCTTCAAAAGGTTTTGGCATGTCCTCAAAGTTGATATTATGAAATTTTTTCAGGATTTTTATTTGGGGAAAGATTGGGAACATGGGGTTAATCATACATTTATCACTCTCATTCCAAAGGTTTCTAACATTGGCGGTCTAGATGACTTTAGGCCAATTAGCCTAGTTGGTGGGTTGTATAAGATCATTTATAAGTGTTTGTCGAGGAGATTGAGGGGTTGCATTTCAGACATCATTAGTCCAACTCAGTTTGCCTTCATACCAGGTAGACATGTTCTGGAAAAATGGACTTAAGGGCTATGTATTCAAGGTTGATTTCAAGAAAGCTTACGATTCTGTTGAGTGGTCTATTTTATTTAAAATAATGGAGAAAATGGGCTTTGATTCCAGGTGGAGAGGCTGGATTGAGTAGTGTGTAACCACAGCTTCTGTTTCGGTTCTTGTAAATGGAGTTCCTTCTGAGGAATTCTCAATGACTAAAGGTCTTCGACAGGGTTGTTCTTTGTCTCCTTTGATGTTTAACTTAGTAGGGGAGCTACTTAATCTACTGATTCGAAGGGCCATGTCACAGAGTTTATTTTCTGGAATGGTGATTGGCAGAGAACAGGGGTCTGTAAATGTGTCCCATTTACAGTTTGCTGATGATTTAATTATATTTTCTGGTGCCTCGAAAATGAAAATTCTGAATGTCAAAAGGGTGCTTCGAGTTTTTCAAGTGGTTTCTAGTCTACAGCTGAATTTGAAGAAGATTAAATTGTTTGGTGTTAATGTTAACGAGGAACTACTGGAATGGGCTACTTCTATTGGATGTTCAATTGACAGATTTCCTTCTGAATATCTAGGGCTTCCCCTTGGTGCTACTAGAAATTATGCAGCTATTTGGGAACCTGTCATTAATAATTTTTTTAACAAGCTAACTGAGTGGAAGGCAACATCTCTTTCTTTAGCAAGGAGACTAGTATTAATTAAGGCGGTTTTTTGTTCGCTTCCTACATATTATCTGTTCATATTTAAAATTTCAGCTTCGGTTCTTAAAACCCTTAACTCTATTATGTCTAATTTCCTATGGGGAGGGGGAAATGGCATTAGAAAAATTCACTAGGTTAGCTGGTCCAATGTTAGCAAGCCGAAGAGTGAAGGGGGCTTAGGAGTTTTTAATCTTAACTTGATGAATAGAGCGCTTTTGGGGAAATGGACTTCGAGGTTTGCCAATGATAGGGACTCAGTTTGGAGGGAAGTTGTTTGTGCTAAATATAGACTCGATTCTTCAGTTTTAATTCTTGACAGTAAGTTTCCATCTAAGGTATCCTGGATTTGGAGATCACTGCTAAATAATTATTTTAAAGAAGACTTCTTTGGCACTAAATTTAGAAGCATGTGTAGTTTTCATGTTGGTGATAGTAAATCTATTCGGTTTTGGCAAGATCTTTGGGCTATGGATCATCCACTTGATGTCATTTTCCCAAGACTATTTTCCATTTCCATAAGTCAGTTTGGAAAATTATCTGAATTTGGGGAGTATATCTCTAACGTTTGGACTTGGGATGTCAAGTTTAGAAGAAATCTTCATGACTGGGAGCTTGAACAATGGTCTAACTTGTTGGCTATCATTACAAATTTTTCACTCTCCGGAATTTCCTGATCGTGTGATCTGGAAAGGTACTGGGGATGGGGCTTTTACTGTTAGATCAGTTGTTAATCTATGTTCATCGGGGACTTTGGGATCGGAGGAGGTCTTTTTCTGGAAGAAGATTATTTGGAGGGTCTACTGCCTCCAAGAGTAGAGTGTTTTCTTTGGAAATCGCTCATGGGAAGCTGGCTGTTAGGACTGAACTTGTCAAAAGAGGTGCAAGGAATTGAAGATGTGTTGTGTCCCCTATGCAAGATGTCGGATGAGTCTCCCTCTCATTTGTTTTTCTCTTGTTCGGTGGTGTAGTCCCTTTGGAATAAGTTCTTAAGTTTTTGGAGGATTTGTTCCGTTCTACCAGCGGATGCTAAAAGCTTTTTTCTAGCTTGGGATGGTCTAAAGTCCAATTCTATGATTTGGCCTTTTATTCCAAGGGTTTAGACCACCTGGAAAATGAGGAATTTCGTGGTGTTCGAAGGGAGAAAGGTTGATAAGGCAGAATTCTTATTTTTAGCAAGGTTTAGGTTTGCTTCTTGGTTCTTAGCAAAGTATAAAGAAGTGTCTATTCCTAAGGACTCACTCATTTATGATCCTTCACTTGGGGACTTAGTTTCTCTCAGGTCTAATCAGATTCCACCTACTTTACTTTGGTCTCCTCCTCTTTTGGGTTTTGTTAAATTAAATGTTGATGCTGCCACTACAAGGGATTGGAAGAAAAGCGGGTTAGGAGGAGTTTTAAAAGATTACTCAGGTTTTACTATAGGCTATTTCAAGGAATCTGCTGGTCCGGGACCTCCTACGTTGATGGAGTTAAAGGCTATTCTTATGGGGTTATCTTTCTTTGCAAATTATCGACAGAGGATCAAGGACCGTCTGATTTTAGAGAGTGATAGTAAGGTGGTTGTGGATTGGATTAAGGGGGATGAATTATGTCCTGTTGGATATGCCTTATTGATTAAAGATATTGTTCATAGGCTTAATGCTTTTTGAAGGTGTTGTTAGACGGGTTAATAGGACAACTAATTTAGAGGCTGATGCCTTAGCTAAAGAAGGCATAGGCTGAGTTAGTAAAGTTGTTGATGGTTGTTTAGGGTTGTTTCTTGATTTTCTGGGTTTTGTAAGGGGATTACTAGTGTTGTTTTCGTTGATTCTGTGTTTTTAGTTTGGGTGTTTTATGGGTGTTTCCACCTTTTTTTGGTTCTGTTGGGGTGTTTTGTTGGTTGTATTGTTGGTTGTATCTTATGTATTTTATTGTTCAATAAAATCTTAAGGCACTCTTTTCCTCCTTCCGCTGATTAAGGAGCTTCCCTACAAGCTCCATTAATCAAGAAGGGGGTTTTTAACGAGGCCTGAAATTCTTATCAAAAAAAAAAAAATTGTCTTTGAAGGCACAATTTTTTTTCTTAATGCCTTGTGGATATTTTTGCTCATGGATTTAGGTTTTTCACAAAAGGCTGCCTCCTGAAGCAATTGATCTTGCTTCACGACTCCTGCAATACTCACCAAGTCTTCGCTGTACAGCTGTAAGTTGCTAGTGTCTACTACTTTGATCGACTGTATTTCCATTTTAGACATAAGAAATGTGCACAACTCTCTATAGCGTTTGGCTCCCAAAAAATAAATTTAGTGATAGCCACCCTAACCTCATGTCATTGTTATATGCTCTTTTCTATTACAGCTTGAAGCATGTGCACATCCCTTCTTTGATGAGCTTCGAGAACCTAATGCTCGGCTACAAAATGGACGACCCTTACCACAACTGTTCAACTTTAAACAGGAAGTATGTTTCTGCACTAAGCTTCATTCTCATATACCTTTGAATTTGTACAAAGATATATCTTCATGAAATACTTTAGGTTGGATTATTTTCTGTCTGAGGTTTTGTTTCATAAGGTTACATGCACATTCTTTTGGTTACAGTTATCTGGGGCTTCGCCGGAGCTTATTAATAAGTTGATTCCGGATCATGTGAAACGGAAAATGGGGCTACAACATTTAATGCATCCTGCTGGAACATAAAACTTTGGAAGTGATATAAGATTTGATCTGGCCTAGATGATGCCGTGACACAAAGGAAGTACCATCTCTGGATTACCTTGATTGAGGGCCTGTCTAGCTTCTATCATTTTCTACTCTCCCCTGCCGCATGCAGTATCTGGCAGCTGAATGGCTATCATCACTTCATCGTTTTACTTGAATTCTACCTCTCTTGCCCTTTTGTTATATGAGTTTTGCTTTTCGTCAAAAAACATTTTTCTGTTATGTACATGTAACACGTTTGATAGTAAAAAAGATTAGACTAAGGTAGACAACAGACCACAAATGTGCTAGTGGAGGAAAAGTTTAGTGTATTTGTTACTAGGAAGGTCCCTCATAGAAATGTCTGGAAGACAAGGGGGTGGTTGGTTATGCGCTTTCGTTATGTTTTTGTTTATTTTGGTGGCCGACTTCAAATTGCGTGTTATTACTGGTTATTCAAAGTAATGTTATTACTCTTGCTACCGTTGTCAGCCTGTCATTATGTTCCAACCATTTCATTGAAGCTGTATCGCGGAGCTGATGGCTAGCATTTTTCTTAAGCCTTTGATGAAACTGACTGGCAAGTTCCACAGGGAATATGGCTTGTTGGGCATTGCTGTAACCCAGCCGAAAGAGGAATGAAGGTCGAACAGATCAGTCTGATGCCTTGTGCCGTTTGGTCATTCCTTCGATTTTCGATATGGAGTAGAGAAAATGTAACGATTTTTTGTGCCCAAGGCCAAGATTATGCTCGTAGCATTGACTATTTGGCAAAACCCTTCAGGGATCCGATTAATTTTGTTCTTATTAGTTTTGAAAGATGTGATATATTAACAAGCAATCAATCGGAAAAAACAGTAAATCGTCGTCTTTAGTTTTAGTGCGGAAAAATTATTTATTTGAGATTTTGGATAGGTATAAATCCAGAATTTTCTGGCTGCAAAAGAAAAAACAAAATAAAAGCTCTATTACACGTGATATTAACCAGGATAAAAAATTGAAATTTATTTTTAAAAATATTATTAAGGATAATATTATACTCATTATCTCATATTTATAAATATTGTTAAGGATAAAATTATACCCATTATCTCATATTATTATAAAATCACTATCATATTTTGGTTTTAGTAACGGTATCACATTGGTTGATTTCCCTGTTTACAAATTGGAGCGAGAGGGCAAGCTAGTAAATTTAAGCATATAAAAAACCCTAGCCCTAAACTCTTCTCTTTTAAAACTCCCCAAATTTTCAAGCAGCTGCCTCTTTGCACTCTGCCACCGCCGCCACTGCCTTCAACCTCCGTCTATTCGCCATGGTACATCTTCCTCTTTTCTACATCTTTTATCTTACGTGAATGCGTGTCTCAGTAACTTCTTGGTTTAAAAGTTTCTTTTTTGGAACTATGAAAGGCATCAGAGAAGAAACTGTCGAACCCAATGAGGGATATTAAAGTTCAAAAGCTTGTCCTCAATATATCCGTCGGTGAAAGCGGTGATCGTCTAACCCGTGCTGCCAAGGCAAGTAACAAAAAACCCAAAAAGAAAAAAAACTTCTTATTCCCCCCCCCCCCCCCAAATATTGTACCTTTTGTTTATTTCTCTTTATTTTGGTTCTCTTTTAGGTCTTAGAACAACTCAGTGGTCAAACCCCTGTCTTCTCCAAGGGTAAAATTTATAGAAAACAAATGCTGGTTTTGAGTTTCCTTTTGTTTGTATGTGTGGTTAATGAAAATTGAAAATGTGGGTTTTGATGTGAGCAGCTAGGTACACCGTGAGATCTTTCGGAATCAGGCGTAATGAGAAGATTGCTTGCTACGTGACAGTGAGGGGAGAGAAGGCTATGCAGCTTCTCGAAGGTTAAGGAATATGAGCTTTTGAGGAGGAACTTCAGTGATACTGGCTGCTTTGGATTCGGCATCCAGGAGCACATTGATCTCGGCATCAAGTAAGTTTTTTATTTTTCGGGCACATCTTTATTAATTTGTGATGTATTCTAATGGAGGATTCTTATGTTGATACTGCGTTGTGGACACTTGATAATTCACTGTTGACACGACCAAATAAATAAAACTAGATTTGGATCCTTTAGTAGGCTTAAGTAGTTGGTTTTTTATCATAACTTTATGATTAAAATACTTCTACTACTTCAATAGGAACACACATGTTTGTATCTTGCAATGATGTTTGATTTTGGGGTTGGGACTGGTTTTAGGATTTAAGAACGCGGTTGCTTTCCCGCTTAATCTTCATTTGAGACAGTTAATTGCCTAAGATGTGTATTGCTTCGGTTTTCTTGTTGAAGTGTGTAGCTTGAAATTGTTTAGTCGTGCTCGAAGCCGGGATTAGCTTATTCAATAAGCTAGTGGTTAACCCTTGTTTTGAAACCATTGAGCATGAGAGTGATGCGGTAATTCTCTCTTCGTTTATCCTGGTAACGAAGTTAACATGTCTGTATTGTCAGCTTCATTCTGCTAGCAGTTACAGTAAATCTTGATTCCATTAAAGCCTATTAAGTCATAAATTACATCTCTTGTGCTCTTTCTAGGTATGATCCTTCGACTGGTATCTATGGTATGGACTTCTATGTTGTTATTGAACGAGCTGGGTACCGTGTTGGCCGTCGCCGCAGGTGCAAGTCACGTGTCGGTATTCAGCACAGAGTTACTAAGGAGGATTCCATGAAGTGGTTCCAGGTCAAATATGAAGGAGTCATCCTTAATAAGTCCCAAAATATTTCTTAGAAATAGCAGATACCGTCTCGATCTGAGTTTTGGGTATCTGATTTTGGTTGCTTTTGTCCATCTGTTAGTATTTTCTTGAACAGATATATTTAGGTGTTATTTTGGGATCGTATGTACTTTTTGTGTTGGTTTAGTTTATTGAGAGAGAACACACAATTGGTTTAGTATACATGAAACGGTATGGAAACAAATTTCTTCAGTATAGGGTAAAGCTTACATTTTATCCCTTTTCACCTGTCATTGATTTCCATTCTTGAAAACCTTTCACCAATAACTCCACTCGGGCATTACCAATTTCATTAAATGAACAAGATAAAAGAGAGAGACAATGGGCAGAATATACATAAATCACAATCAATGAACCAGTTGCTTGATGAAGAATACATATTATTCAGGAAAAATTTATCAACCGTTAATCATCATTAGCGGATCCTAATCCATCTCAGATTGCACACAAATAATGACCGAAAGAGCAGCAAAAAATAACACACCAGTACTGTGATTCCTTTATTTCATAAATCAAGTGTAAAATCGATATCAATAATGTAAACTCCAATTACCAATTTTCCCTATTCTAGAGATCCAAATAAAAGACGTATTTTTCCAGCGGCACCATTTTGCGAGTAGAATCAAGAAAATAACGGGGAAATTATTGAAGAAATACCAATTGCTAAACCAAGAAAAACCTTACTTGGCCCATGATGGTTGTCCTTCTTATTAGTTTTATCAGCTTCACCATCATCGGTATAATCTGAGTCACTCTCACTATCTGCAGAAGACTCCTTAGAAGGCAGCGGTGACATGGGCAATCCATGCTAATCGCAATAAGCAACCCCAAGTTTCAGTTTCGATGACAAAACAGAATGATTGTAACACAAATTGCTATAAAACAGAATGATTGTAACACAAATTGCTATTCCCACCAACCTTGAAAACAGCCAATCGCTTTTTGAAACTAGCATTGATAGGTAAAACTCCACGAAGCCCATTGTCCTCCAGATTCAACACTTTCAACCCTGACAAAAACTTGGGAACAGTTCCATTTAACTGGTTATTACTCAGATCGACATGAACCAATCCTGTAACGGCTGACATGGAATCCGGGATTGACCCAGACAACGAATTGGAAGCCAAAGATAGATTCTTCAAGGATATTCGAGAAGCGTGAGGGAAGTTGGTATCTTCCCTTTGAGCTTGTTATTGGATAAATCGATATGGATCAGATTCGGATGCAAGTGGCTCGAAATAGAACCGGTAAGATTAGCATGTGAAATGGTGAGTGTCTTCAGCTTCTGCATGTTCCCGAGGATTACATAAACACCGCTGGCGCTGACCGGAGTGTATGAAACTGTGAGATCAGTGAGGTTAACGAAGTGCGAGAGCCAGACCCCAGAGAGACGCCGGAGAGATCGAATGCAGGAGAAGGAAGTGAGGGAAAGAGAGAGATCGGAAGGGAAGCGGACAGGTGATACGTGGCAGTCAGTGAAAGAAAGAGAACGGAGGGAAGAGAGGGACTTGAGAGCATTGAAGGAGAGGAAAAGGTCGGATGAACTGTTGGAGAGGTGGAGCGAAATGAGTTGGCGGACGGGCTTGGAGTTGTCGCAGATGGTGGCATTGCGAGGGGAAGGTTGAACGCAAGGGTCTCTTGTGGTGGGGATGTGGAGGGATCGGAGTGCTTCCATTTGTTTAGGGTCTAGTGGGGAAGAAGATGGAGCTTTGGTGGTGGGTGAGGTTGGGAAGGAAGTAGGGGCAGGAGTAGGGGTCGTTGGTTCAGTGGCGGCGGAGGTGACGGTGGCGGAGAGGAGAAAGATGAGGTAGAGCAATGGTGGCGGAGGTGGTTTCATGGTGGAGACCGAGGAAGAGGAAGGGGAAGAGAACCGTGAGTGGTGAGACGTTGGATTGGGGTGGGGTTAGAGGCGTTTTTCTCTAAAAATCATCGGCAATCTAATACCAGTCAGATTATATTTTTCGATATAATACTCGTAGCAGTAAAACGTGCCCTCCAGGAGTATAGCGCGGATCAGAGGGCGCGATATACCTGGTTATCTAACACGTGGGGTATAGCGCGGTACAGGGGTCGCGCTATACCTTTAATTACCCACATATTCACACACCAATCCTCTTTATAAATACCCCTATCATCAATCACTTTCATCACATCAAATTCTCTCAAATTTTCTCAATTTCTCTCAAATACTCTATCTGTTTAAGGTATATTTTACAATATTTTTAATATTATGTATTTAATTTATTTAAGTATTTTACTTTATTTAATATTTTACTAATATAATTTTTTTGCAGATATATAATAGAAGACATTCTACTTCGCTTGGATGAAAATCATATATCTCGACACTTTGCTGATACGGTAACATTTTAACGTTTTAATTTAATTTAAATTATTAGTAATAATTAGTTGATTTATTTAATGCATGATTATTAGATTAATAATTAATTTTTGTAATTATTTATTTTTAGAAGAAGGATCGTATATTAGATCATTTTATTAGGAATCTTAAGTTAGTGATACATAGATGTGTCTTGCCGTATTTAGTATAGGCTGAATTTGGTTACATAGGTAGATATCAGGGTCACTGTAAGATAGAACCAGACCTTATTTTTTCCTTAATAGAGCGGTGGAGGCCAGAGACCCACACATTCCATCTTCCGTACGGAGAATGCACGATCACGCTTGAGGATGTTTCTATGCACCTGGGGCTTCCGGTGGATGGAGATGTGCTATCAGGGATAGCTTCCGGTTCTTGGACTACTTTGCACCGGGAAAATCTAGGACATATCCCGGAAAGTTTTATCGAAGGTAGGATACCGTTAAATTGGTTAGATGCCAATTTTCGGGAGTTGAACGCAGACGCCTCTGAGGATGAGGTTAAGATGTATGCACGGGAATGTATATTGCAGTTGATAGGAGGTTTGCTGATGCCAGACAAATCATGCAACCTAATTCACTGCATGTGGTTGCGACATCTTAGCAACTTTCGTCTCGCCGGATCATTCAGTTAG